GTACTGTCCGCTTTAAACAGACTAGAGAAATAGGTAGTAGCCAATTCAGCCATGGCATCATGACTCTGATGCGTTACCCCAGCCTCACCCACAAGCGATTTTATGTGATTTTTATGTGCGCGCCAAACTGCTTTCCGCTGAAAAACTTTGTGTTTCGGTCTCCTTCACGCAGCCAAGCAACTCGAGACCGTTGCATCTAGAGCATCTCCTCCCGGTAGAGGAGTTCATTCATCTTGTCAGTTGCCTCACGAATCTTCTTTCTATCTGCATTCATAGACATGAGCTCTTCCGCGAGACTTGTTAATCTCTTTAATGACATTACCAAAAATTTTGCGGCTCCAATCTTGCAATTTCTTCATCATATTGCGCAACCCAGAGGCTATATCTCCCAAATTCAGCATAGACCCCAAATCAACCCAAGTGTTCATAATTACCTCGGGGACGGTTGGATCTCTCTCCCACATCACCTCGTACTGGCGACACTTCCTGGCGGACGTTGGTGAATGTTCCTCCATGATACACCGAAGCAAAATGGCCAGGTGATCCGAACTGGGCATCACGTGGCTCCACCTTGGCGTTTGTGAAGATGTCACACCACGAGTTATTAGCTACAGCCTGGTCCAATCGGACTTTAACATTTGCCCGTCCTCCACGACGGTTATCATAAGTGAAAGGAAGCCCTACAAAACCAAGATCACCCAATCCACAAACTTCCAAAGCATCACGAAAATCAATCATCTGACCTGCCGATCTCGGCGTGTCGGAGAAGTGTTTGAAGCTCCACAAAGCCTCGTTGAAGTCTCCAATCACCACCCATGGCATGTCGGTTTGGCGGTGAAGATTCCGGAGGAGGGACCAGATGAGATGACGGTCCTCCCTCTGTGGTTCACCATAGACACAGCAGTGACGTAAGCATCAATACATCGTTCATTTATTGTTTTTACATCAAGACTCAAAGACTCATGCCAATACAAAGCCAAACCACCACTAAGACCCACACTAACCGAAGCATCAAACCCACTAAGACCTAACCGAGAACGCAATCTCTTCATTTTATTCTTAGACTGTCTGGTTTCACAAAGAAAGATGATACTAGGGGAGTGAACCCGAACTAGGCTCACAAGATCACGAACTGTCTGAGGGTTCCCCCCTCCTCGGCAGTTCCAGCTGAGGATATTCATTGCTCCTGACAGGGCTCCGCCGGCCCCGTCAGTTCGTCGGCGGCCCCTGGGCCGACTGCCTCCATAGTGTTAGGCTGGGGTGTATATATACACACCCTGGTGCGTGAGTTTTGTACCGAAGAGAAAAGGAGAAAAAGAAATAAAGAGGAAGAAAAGAGGGCACGACAAGAGCCCCTTGGCTACCAGTTTTTGTGTGTGTGCGTTCATGTTATTTTGATGTGATCGATCCTGAGGACGAAAAGCCAACAATCGCGTGGGCGCCAGAGAAGAACGGTATCTTCACCGTTCGTTCAGCCTATCGCCTAGCCATGGACGAGCGTGATCGTCCATTGACAACCGCCACGAGCAGGGCACCGGATGGTCGTCGCGCCATCTGGAAGATCATATGGGGGTGCCCTGCTCCCCCAAAGGTACGCGTGTTTGCATGGAGAATTGTGACCAATTCACTGGCCACTTGGGCTAACAAGTTTTCTTGACACCTAGAGCTTACCGACATTTGTCCCCTCTGTGGCATGGAACGGGAGGACGGTTATCACGCGTTGTGTAGGTGCCCACTCGCCAGAGACCTCTGGCGATCCATGGAGGAAGACTGACCGATTCCCAAGGTGGAAACCATACATAATGATGGACCGGAGTGACTCTTCACGCTTCTGGATCCTTTGTCGGACACAATGCGTATGGTGGTTCTCATGATCATGTGGCGGGCTTGGTACATCCGCAATGAAATAACTCATGACAAGGCTCCATGCGATGGCCATGGATCGATCGGATCTGGTAGGTGCGGTTAGGTGAGGTAAGGGGAAGGCTTGGAGAGGAAGAAGAAAGACAGAGGAGCAGGATATTATTTCATTTCAGCGATAATCTCATTACAACGCCACACCTTTGATTTATACCCCCACACTTGACACCCCTGGGCTCTACACACGCACACGGTTACAGCTGCTCTCGACCCCACTCATCAGGGCTGATCTCCAGGTCCACCTTCAGCCATTGCTAGTCTCTGACTCGTCCTCCTTCTCAGTTACGCTATCCCTTGCTGGCAGCGCTTGACTAGTGCTGACACTGCCCTCCCCTTGAGAAGTAGCGTGTCCCCATGCTGGCGCATCTGGAAATCTTTGCTTGAGGGTGTCGTAATCCTCCCAGGTGGCCTCCTTGTCAGTGAGGGATGCCCATTGAATGAGCACCTGTAGATGTGCGCGATGTCCCTTTTTTACTAGCCTCCGGTCAAGGATGATCTCTGGTTCCATGTCTGTAGCGGCCAGGTCGATCTGAGTTGGTATGGTAGAGAAGACTGGTGTATGGTCAGGAACATGCTCTTTGAGCTGGGAAACATGGAAAATAGGATGGATCATAGCATTGTCAGGTAACTGAAGTTTGTAAGCTGCTGGTCCAATCTGCTCCAGGATTTCAAAAGGGCCGAAATACTTCATGGCTAATTTAGGACATGGGCGGTTTGCCACCGAATGCTGAGCATAAGGTTGTAGCTTCAGGTATGCAGAATCTCCCACTGAAAAAGACCTCTCACTTCTTTTCTGATCAGCGTAGTGTTTAATTTTGTTCTGAGCTTTCAGTAGTTGTTCTTTGAGATGTTCCTGATGTCCCTGGTTCTCAGCTACCCACTGTTGCACATCAGTGTTGTCTGAAGATAGATCAGCAAGGAATGTGCCATAATTGGGCTCATGTCCATAGAGAGCTTTGTAGGGAGAACATTCCAAAGAAGTATGATAACTAGTATTATACCAGAATTCAGCTAGAGGTAGCAAGGATTGCCATTTAGCTGGGCAATTGTGCACAGAGCATCTAAGATACATTTCCAAGCATTGGTTGACCCTTTCACCCTGCCCGTCTGTTTGTGGGTGGTAAGCAGTGCTCATGAGCAACTTGGTGTTCCACAGCTTAAATAACTCTTTCCAGAAGTGGCTAGTGAACATCAACTGACATAAGCAAAAGAAACTCATTACATAACATAGTTCAACATAAGCATCTACATAGATGAAACATTACATAGCATGGTGAGTCCTGATAGTTAGCCCATCTTGACGTAGGTGCCAAGAGCGTTGAGGAGTCCCTCCCCCCCAGCGGCCATGGAATCCAGTGGTTCTGCCACCGGCCACCAGGAGCTCAAATGGCGCACCTTCGCCCATACCATATGACCCGAAGGTGCATCGGTTGCTGACAAAAGTAACCGATCCGACAAGGAAATATCCATCGTAATTGCCTAACCGACCTTTTACGCCTGTGAGATACTTGTCTGACTCCAGACAGATCTGCACATGCCAAAACATACAAATGATAGTATTAGTTACTATTAGAGAAAATGTGATGGTGTAGGTATTACCTCTGAGCGCTCTCCTTCTGGGTTTCCCCATTGCCTGGTCTGCTCCTCCCGGCCATCCCGCTCGTATACCACTGAGATGGCGTCGGCCGTGCCACGTGATCAAGTTGACAATACGGTGGACGCCGCGCACGTCCATCGACCAGACCATGTCTTGAGGATAAGACCATGTCTTGATGACGATTGCTACTTGTGCATTCTATCACAAGTTTACAGTTAGATTTACATTTCTTGGAGGCCATAACAGAAAGGCTATTGCTTCTGTTATGATGTCTGTCTCTTGGGAATTTCGGAAGGAATAAAACACAAGACTTTTCGCAACGTTGCTTCCCTGACCACCATTGTTTTCACGAAAATCAAAGAGGAGGCCCATCTTTGGGTGTTGGTGGAAGCTAAGCACGTATTCTTATGCCACGAGAGTAGGAATTTTCTTTTTGCCACTTCGTGGCTTGTGTCTAAAAATTCTAGTTAGTCAATGAAAATGGCAAGTCTTTTTCCTTGTTTCAAAAAAAGGAGGCCACTTGGCCTGTTCTGGTTTAGTAGGAGAAAATGTGGCAAAATAATGCTTTTTGTACGTGAATTCAAATATAGAATAGTAGTTTATTTTATTTAATTTAAGTTCAATTTAACTCTCTAGAACATCGATGCTCTGTGAATAGTTGATACTACAAATTTCGTTGTTACAACAAAAACAGTTAAAACAAGAAAAGAAGCATTGATTTCGCAAAGAAGAAGAAGAAAAGAGGCATTTTTATTTATTTATGAAAGCAGATATCTAAAGAAGAAAAGAGTAGGACCAGTGAGAACTAATCAAAGTGGACGGAATTCTTTTTTGTCATATACAAATATCTTAAGAGTAAAAGAGATAAGTTTGGCGGAAAAAGAAAATGTGTTGAACATCTTATATTACAGAAAAATAATAAATAACAAATACCTTGGAGACAAACAATGATGATTAATAATAAAGTAGTTTTTTATCAACCAAACAAATATATATATATATATGTGTGTGTGTGTGTGTGTGTGTGTGTGTGTGTGTGTGTGTGTGTGTAGCAAAAGAATTAGAAACTATGAAAAAGAAAGGGTTACCAAAAAAATTGAAAATCGTTGAATAGTTTGAAGTTGCGTTTTCAACAAATGGGCCGGCCCACAGTCCTACTGCTCTTCCCCAACTCCTAAAAAAAGCTCGCCATTTCTTCACGAAAAAAGTCCCCTTTTCTGAGAGCTCCCACCCCACGCCATGTCCACCCTACCATTTGCCGCCGCCGGCGAGACCCCCACCGCCCGCTCAAACCACCATCAGCGCTCTCTGCGACGACCTGCTCCGCAAGATCTTAGCCCGCGTCCCCGACCTCCCGAACCTCGCCCGCGCCGCCTTCTCCTGCTGCGCCTTCCTCCGTGACGTCCGCTCGGACCCCGCCTTCCGCCGCCGCTTCCGCTCGCTCTGCCCGCCGCCCCTCCTCGCGTTCTTCCTTGAAATTTACATGGATCTGGTCCTGGTCTACCCCTCCCCCTGGCGCCCCTCCGACACGGGCCTCGCCGACGCCTTCCGCGGCGCCGATTTCTTCAAGACCCGCCGCATGCACGGCCTCAAGCACGTCGACGACTCCGGGTGGGAGTTCGACTACATGTTGGGCGACGAGATTCAAATCGCCCACCGGAAGCAGCGAGCCAGCTACAGCCCGCTGAGGCAGGCCCTGTCCCTTTACCCCGACAGGCAAGTTTTGAAGGACAACAGCTTCCTTGAGTTCCACACGCTCTCCTACCAGGAGGACCAGGGGCTGCAGCATGTGGTCTGCATCCGCCATGACCGCTATTGGGCGCGGGCAAGTGTCGCTCTCTTCTCATCCAACACCATGGAGTGGCAAATTTTCCCTTGGGTGGAAACAAAGGCCCTGGGCCTGGTGCCCAAGAATGCCAGAAGCTCTATAAACCCTGGTAAGGTGGTTGATGGATTCATATACTGGATATTTCCGAAGGGAGCCGGTATGCTCGTGCTCAATGCGACGACATCTCAGTTCCACCGAATGGATATGCCGCGGCCCTTGAGTACGGTGCTCTTTACTACATTCAAGCTTGGCGAGACCAAGGACGGGAAGCTCTGTATCGTGCACCTAAATTTTGAGGGCATCAATGATGGGATGCTTTTTGTTTGGTTGTGGGGAAAAGATAGCGATGGTGTGGAGAGATGGATGTTTGACAAGTCGTTTCCATTGTGCGCAATTGTTGAGTTCATTAATTGTTCAATGGTAATTCATTCCAAAGTAGGAATTTTGTCAGTTATTGATGGCTTTGTGTACCTGTCAGTTGCTGAATGTCGGAACCGTAGTAATTCTTCAGAGTGGTTCCTATCATTTTGCCTGGAGACTTCAGAACTGCATCAGCTCTTTGAGGGCCCATATCAGAGTCATCATGATGCCCATCCCTATGTCATGCCGTGGCCTCCTTCTTTGGTATACAACAAGGTGAGCCCATGCTTATGTGGGATGGTTCCGGTGAAATTTCTTCCTACCTTTGGTTTGGTCTCCAGATTGTATGATGTTATGTTACCTTACAGCACTGGATTACTGTAGTCTTGTTAAAGCTGTTATCAAACAGTTAGTTTGTCTCCAGAGTTTTCATTTTTCTTACCATGAGGTTTTGTGCAGATTAAGCACATGGCACTTGCTGATATTTGTATTTTGAAATTTTATACACTAAAAAGACTCCATGATAATTGGTAACTACCATGAGATGGTTATTGTGGAGCATTTTACTTTTGTTGCTTGTGTTAAAGATAAAAGGTTGGTCTGTATCATTAGGATCTATAGGCTTGCATGAATGTACACTCATGTTTTTCTTTTTCTTTTTGACAGGATGGTTCAGAAGCTAAAGTTACTAAAAACTGTGCTGCAGAGGATAGTCCTGTGGGCAAAGAAAAACCTCGTCCTATCCTTATCACAGCATTGCAATCTTTCAAAGAAGCTTTGATTGATGATGATGAAGCAAATACTACCGAGGCAGCAGCCTTTTTCACAATTGAGGATGAGAAGATGTCTCTCATGAGAAAAATGGCTACTTTGGATGTACGATTGACAAATGCAAGAGATCATGTCCTGAGGTTAAGTGCTGACTCTGCAAAATTGAATATACCATGTCTTGATGATGATTGCCATTTCTGCTTTCTTTCACAAATTCACAGTTAGATGGACGATGAAGTTAGAGTCAGTTGAACTTACATTTCTGAGAGGATGCTTAATATTCGAAGGCTCGAGTGAGGTTCTGAATCCTATAAAATGGAGCAACTTAACCTACCATGGATAGTGATTTTTTAGGGATGCTGGTGCTTATGAATCCACAGCAGGGTTTGTTGATCTACAGCGTGGGATTGGATTTGTGGTGGTGATAACTGACAAGTAAAGAGCAGCTGCATGGTTGTTGCCAGCTCTTTGAGGGTGAGTTAACTTGCCTGTGCATTGTTAGTGTACCCCTTATCTAGGTAGATGTCAAGGCCTCATGGTTATGTGAACAACATTGCTAGTTTTATGTTGAATGATTGCTTTGTCTTTTGTGCAACTACATTTGAACCAGGAGATTGTATCGCTATGTTATCCTTTTCAAGTTTCACCTATAATAATTTGCAGCCTTTATGGGTGTCAATATTTCCAACCTTTCGGTGCTAGAGCTATTGTGTTGTTTAGCTTACCAGGGTGCAGTTTAAATTGCCATGGTAACTCTAGAATTCTTCTTTTGTGATGAAGTAACTCTGGAGTTCTGAAATCATTAAGATGTGATTACCTGAGCTTTTCCTGAATATTATGTGTCGTCATAGTGTTGCATGTTGAAGTGCCCTCTCTTTTGATAGAATAGTCCATTCTTGTTTTGTCCCAAGTCACAGTTGTTTCAGTCTGAGCAAATGTATAGAAAAATTGAACACATAAGACATAAACATTTTGAACACCTAAAACATAAAAAAAATTGACACTTAATTACTTATTTTTCATCTATAACCTCCTGCAATTGTCCAAAAACACCTAGTGTTTGTTCAGAAAATTCAGAGAATGTAAGTGCATGAATGCTGTAGGGAAATTGGATAGACACCTTATCGTCTTCATTGACCTGAATAGTCGTAAATGGACGCCATGGTGGCTTCTGTATTTCTTCCTGCCAATACGAGACCAACCTTGCAGCTTAAGCCCGTCCTTTTTATTCCAACAATGGTGCCGCCACTAATCGGCATGTTCTCGAAACCCTGCACATTATGATCATTTCAATGAGGAAAACTTTTAGTAACAATGTAACTCCTCCCAAATAGAGCAACTAGAACTTTCAAAAAAGTATGGGCTTTTAATTTACCTGCATCAAATCTTGGCGATTCTCTTGGAGCTCTTTGTTATTAACCTGCTCTCTGTTGAGGTCTTGCAATGAATCTTTCATCCTTTTCCATTCCTCATCCAGAATATTTCTCACATATGTCATTACCGCATAAAGATGTTGATGGTCTTCCTTTGGGAGCTTCTCCCCTGCTTGTAGTCTGTTAGCTATGAATGTAGCGATAATCTCTAAAAGTGGGAGTGCCAATATTTGTCTAGAGTTCCACTGAAACCATCTTACGCTGACTCTTCCTGATACTAATTTAGGGGGAATACTGCCTGAATAGCATCTGGATTGAATGAGGGACTAACACTGAAGCTAATTCTAGCATTAAAATGGGGGTACAGATAGATGATCTGAATTCGACATTGTTTTAACTCCCAACTACATGTTTTCGCTTGTAAAGAAGGGCAAGTACTGCTCTCTGATACTGCCTCTCTAAGCATTTGTTATCCATGATCAGTAAAAACAGAATTCGGCATCGACATATATTCGCTTTTTCAGTGTGCATTCAGCATTACCATCTGTAACTTCTTTTTTTATAACTGCGGACATCGGTGTTCATTTTCGAAATGACACTCTAAAGTTGAGGTGAAAATTCAGCACTCTGAAAACTAAAACTAAACATGTTACAGAGTTTAGATAAGAAATACATAACCCTACCTTCTCCAGTTCATGCAGCGCCAGATCATGGTCAGCCAGCTTGCTCTCTCCACCTGCCATGTCTAGTGTGTTGACCTCCAAAGCACACTAAAACAATAAAAACAACACAAGACTATGTCAAGATGGCGAAAGCAAACAAACCTGGTCATACTGCGAGGGGAGGTAGCTTGTTGGTTATTATTTATTGTTAAGGAGTATCAATGAACTAACAATCTAGCTAAAAAGAACAAAGATTCATGTGAATATATAGAATTTCCACTCAAATCTTCTCAACACTGCATACTCCCTCATTCAGGCAGTAGACAAATAAACAAACACACAAACCTTCAGTGTTGAGAAGATTTGAGTTAAAAATTCTAGCATCGAATCTTTTTAGATAAATTCAGTCATCAAACCTTTTTAGATGAACTATGGTGGCCTGTAAGCAGGGCAGGTGCTATCTATTACTTTTTCTCTGAGCATATGCTGGAATTGCGGTCCATGGTCAATACAATATGTTGGCATACAGTTCCAATTTTTGGCTGAAAAAAATGCAGCCAATCTGGATTTGGAAATTCCACTTACTGCCCATAGCTGTTTTTTTTCTAACAACCTATATCGATGTTCTTTTGCAAAATGATACTATGAAGTTGAGGTGAAAATTCAACACCCTGAAAGTGACACTATGAAGTTGAGCTAATGCTAATTCTATAGATTATTTGAATTTATAGTGTTTTGCTCCCAGCTGCATATGTACACCATGTTGTGTTGGATTATACGTCGCTGTAATTTTTTGGCTATAAACTTGCAATTCAGGGTTAATTTATAACTTCATTTCAGATCAATCCAATGACCAAAATTCGGCATGCTGCTGTAATTTTTTGGCTATAAACTTGCAATTCAGGGTTAATTTGTAAAAACATGCATTTCACAACCGTTTCAGCCAGATTTGAGCATTCGACATTACTACTGTAACCCATTTATTTTTACAACTGTTGAATATTGGTGTTCATTTGCAAGACTATGACTTGGCTTGGAGCAGGGCCTTCGGAAGTCCTGGGAATAGCTTCCAACGATTGTAATACTCCGGTGATTGAGTAATGAAAGCTTTATTTCCGCAAAAAAAATCGGCATCTCTTGTGTAGAATAGTAAAATACCGACGGCGGCAACGATCGCGGGAGTAGGTTCTTTTCTCTTCCCATTGGCACGCCGCCGCCGGGAACAGGAACAGGGGATGAAGAGAGCAGAGCAGAGCATATGTACGTAGGTGGTGGCGGCGGGGAGGGAGCTCCCGCGACTCCGTTTCTGGGGGGCCGCACCGCAGGCTATGTACAGTCTCCCTGGCCTGGCGGCGAAAATGGACGCCATATTTGGTGGTTGGTGAGGTAAATCGAAGAGTGGAGAAGCAGAGGCATCGGCGGCAACCGTGGCCGGAATCGGGGAAGAAGGCCGGGTCGGGCGACGAAAGCGGCCTTTTTCCCCAACTCAGCTCGGCGACCTTTTTTCTTTTCTTTTTCGCTGAGAGAGAGAGGGAGAGAGAGAGAAAAGGAAGGAAGGAAGGAAAGATGGTCTCCGTCGTCGTACTACGTGGGAACAGAAGCGAATGTTTGCGTATGTGGCGGAAAAAAAAGGAAAAAAGAAGCTCGAGTCGGGATGCAACTGCAAATACTAGCCGGATTGTCGAGGCGCTGCAAGTTACTCGATCGGGCCTCTATGTCCAGATGCGTCAGTAAGAGTTGTAGTCCAACAAACACACGTACGATGTGTTTCCTTTCCCCCTTCCTCAATCTGCCTTTTCCCAGTTGTTCTCGCTTCTTTGAGCATGGGCTGATGTGTAGGCTTGATCTATTATTTTGCAGGTCTTGCTCGCTGTTGGTTGTAACATCATCGTCTACCAGACAGGTTTGTCTGATTCGAGATTCAATTTTTTTGCCCGTCCATGCATCTTTGGTTCTATCTGCTAGGCAGTTGTTTTCTTTGAATGGCTACATGTACTTCTATAGCTTGTTAATTCCTTCTCAGCTTGTTTTATTTTATATGCATGTGTCGGACAAACTAATGTGTCTTTGTGTTGGTCGTTCCTTCCTTCCGACATCGCAATTATTTTAGATGCTGGCCAGTTAAGGTTTGTTGGAAATAATAGTGGATGTTGGGCTGCCTCCACACCGCAAGATATGGAGATGGTTGACATCGGAACCGGTGGTTGAGGTCGAGTACGCCTGGTTGTCGTCGCCGTCTACATCCGTCACGGTGCTGCTGCAATGGCTTTTCCTCTTCCTATTGCTTTTATTCTCTCCTGTTATCCCTTGGTGCTCATAATCGCAGGACGACACTTGATTTTAGTGTGAGGAACTTGCTGTTGCTAGCACCAGATTCAGCAGGGAGGATATCTATGAGGCCTTTCATTCTTGTGGGATTCCCACACATCTTGCAAGTTTAAGGGGGTGAGCTCAGCTGAATGTGCGCCGAGGTATGGTACCTTTGCAAGCCGAGTATCTTGCTCTAATTTGTTGACAGGGTAAGAGGTACAGTCACCAATCCATAGGCACTTCTGCACTTTTTCGCTATTTCTTGGTCACATGGCTGATTTATTTTTCAAGATCTATGTGGAAGATCATCATTATGTTGAGTTTTAGTGAGAAAAGTCATTGTCGCTCTATCTTTGGTTTTTGATTTAATGTACTACTTCCATCATTTCTCCATGAGGTGGAAAAAGGATGGGTAGAACATCTAAGGCAAATAATCATATATTTTTTATGACGCAAGGTGTTATTTCAGCTACAATAACGATCCGATTACAAATCCATGTGTAACGTCACTGTTTTCTGCTACGTTTGTTATTCAGGTCCAGTAGCCAGTGGTTCTTTGCGGAATTGTTCAAAAGGACATTTTGAGGTGCTTGTCCAGATGTGCTTATTTCTCTTCAGTGACAGGTCAATCATATATTTCTTTCATCTAAACTTGTGCTTTGTTATCTACAAACTAATAGGTCGTTCTATCTACATACTATCATGCCATGAAACTGTGATAGGTTTGTCCCTGTTTTTGATTGTGTTGCCAAATCATTTCAAAATATGTCCTTCATACAGAGTTAGAATATTTTAAGGTTACAATGGCAATCTAAAATAATGGAAGCTTTTCAACATTACCAAAGTTCCACTCCTGTTTCTATTCATTTTGGTCGCTCTAGGAATTTCTAGCTCATTTGTATGTACCTCTGGTTATGTTATTGTTGAAAATTGAATTAGTAAAATAGCTTGTGGTAAAAATAAGAATGAAAGTCTATAAAAAATCCCTAAATGTTTTCCCCTTAGGACAGAGTTGTTGTTTTTGAGGAGCAAGGTACACGATATATATGCAGGGCCTCTTTGGTCAACGTCTAGAGTCAATGCATGTTCACTTTACAAAAAAAGGAGAGAAAATCTTCATGTGTTTCAGCTGCTTACTCGTGGTGATGCCAACATTTTGCTATTGCAAATGTTACTGGTTCTCTCATATCAATATCACCTTCTTTTCGGTTGCAGCAAACATTACTTGAACTTTCTTGAGTTTGTTTACAATTCCGAACTCCTCAAATTGAACGGCTCATCTACTGAAGTACTTTGTTTGTGTACAGTTTTGTAGGAGTTTGGAGTACTCTGAGCACCTACCTGTAGTGTTCCATCAAAACTACTTGCACAACAGGAGTTTTGCTTGGCACGGGTAATCTTCCTCTCCTCCCCCCTCACAGTCTCTAGACGCCCTCTCCCTCTAGATCCAAATTTAGCTCTTACGTGTAAGAGTTTGCATCATGAATGAAAGCAGAGTTGATTCTCATTTCAGTACTAGGTGGGTAGGGATTAATCCATCAAAATGAATGATTATAGTTAGGAAACCTGCCAATATGGTAATATGTATTATTAATAAGATTTTAAATTAATTTAGAAAGGAAAAGAATGTGTTTTTTCTATTTAGTATTTAGTATTTCTGGAAAACTATATGTGTTCTTGCTAATTTCATACTACTATATTACAGTGGTACATGCTCTTGCTTGTCTACAAAATTTCATTCTTGCATCTAACCCCTAATCGTGAAGGTGAAGCAATTGTTAATCGTTTATCTTTATCTTTCTTTCCCTTTACAGCCTACTTGAATGGATATGGTTCGTGAGAGGCCATTTCTTATGCATCAGGTCCTGAAGGTGGATGTTGCTTGTTTAGATATCTATGATTCCAACTTATTCAAAACAGTTCATGTCATACTGGATGCTATTTTAATGAGAGTGGCTTCGAACAATATGGCATGACCATATTTGTTTTCTCTTTGGCCAATAATGAAATGATCTTTGTGCATATAAAATGGTTATTGATACCATAATTCTTGGTTTTAATTAGCTTCTTTCGCTAACCGGTTTAGGCCATTCTACTATCTTTAATACAATCCACATTGCATCATCTTTTCATTTACGCATACTACTTATTCA